GTTTCTGCACCACTTCTAGCACCGAACCTCGTGTTTCTGCACCACTTCTAGCACCTAACCTTGTGTTTCTGCACCACTTCTAGCACCTAACCTTGTGTTTCTGCACCACTTCTAGCACCGAACCTCGTGTTTCTGCACCACTTCTAGCACCAAACCTTGTGTTTCTGCACCACTTCTAGCACCGAACCTCGTGTTTCTGCACCACTTCTAGCACCGAACCTCGTGTTTCTGCACCACTTCTAGCACCGAACCTCGTGTTTCTGCACCACTTCTAGCACCGAACCTCGTGTTTCTGCACCACTTCTAGCACCGAACCTCGTGTTTCTGCACCACTTCTAGCACCAAACCTTGTGTTTCTGCACCACTTCTAGCACCTAACCTCGTGTTTCTGCACCACTTCTAGCACCGAACCTCGTGTTTCTGCACCACTTCTAGCACCGAACCTCGTGTTTCTGCACTTCTAGCACCTAACCTCGTGTTTCTGCACTACTTCTAGCACCTAACCTCGTGTTTCTGCACTACTAGCACCTAACCTCGTGTTTCTGCACCACTTCTAGCACCTAACCTCGTGTTTCTGCACCACTTCTAGCACCTAACCTCGTGTTTCTGCACCACTTCTAGCACCAAACCTCGTGTTTCTGCACCACTTCTAGCACCGAACCTCGTGTTTCTGCACCACTTCTAGCACCTAACCTCGTGTTTCTGCACCACTTCTAGCACCTAACCTCGTGTTTCTGCACCACTTCTAGCACCAAACCTCGTGTTTCTGCACCACTTCTAGCACCGAACCTCGTGTTTCTGCACCACTTCTAGCACCGAACCTCGTGTTTCTGCACCACTTCTAGCACCGAACCTCGTGTTTCTGCACCACTTCTAGCACCAAACCTTGTGTTTCTGCACCACTTCTAGCACCTAACCTCGTGTTTCTGCACCACTTCTAGCACCGAACCTCGTGTTTCTGCACCACTTCTAGCACCGAACCTCGTGTTTCTGCACTTCTAGCACCTAACCTCGTGTTTCTGCACTACTTCTAGCACCTAACCTCGTGTTTCTGCACTACTAGCACCTAACCTCGTGTTTCTGCACCACTTCTAGCACCTAACCTCGTGTTTCTGCACCACTTCTAGCACCTAACCTCGTGTTTCTGCACCACTTCTAGCACCAAACCTCGTGTTTCTGCACCACTTCTAGCACCGAACCTCGTGTTTCTGCACCACTTCTAGCACCTAACCTCGTGTTTCTGCACCACTTCTAGCACCTAACCTCGTGTTTCTGCACCACTTCTAGCACCGAACCTCGTGTTTCTGCACTACTTCTAGCACCTAACCTCGTGTTTCTGCACTACTAGCACCTAACCTCGTGTTTCTGCACCACTTCTAGCACCTAACCTCGTGTTTCTGCACCACTTCTAGCACCGAACCTCGTGTTTCTGCACCACTTCTAGCACCTAACCTCGTGTTTCTGCACCACTTCTAGCACCTAACCTCGTGTTTCTGCACCACACCGCAGCAGCTTGCACCAGGCTAGCACAGGGATCTCGAACACAGCAGTGCCTTGGCCTTCTCCATCCCCTTCATGCTGTCCCATTCTGCTCAAGGCACCCACTGTGCAAGCAAGACAGACAAAGATCAGCACCATCTCAGGGGTATCCTCAAGGGCAACTCCCAGAGCCACCCCAATACTGCTGTATGTCTGCCCAGATGGACCGACCTTGCTCGCCGCACCGGCGGCCAGAAGGTCACTGCGCTTTGAGTTTTTGACTGGTGTGCCAAAAAACCTGGAATGGCGCCTGTCATTTATAGCACCTTTTCTCAGAGGGCTCTCACGTGTCTTTATGTACTTTAGTAAATGAGTTTATAAATCACTCTCTCCAACACCAAAGTACAGCCATCTCTGGAATGATACACAGCAGCTGCTGTAAAATCAGACCACAGCTCTACACCACAGATTAGGACAATAAAACATGCTGCATGAGGCAACTGAAAGGGTTGGAGGAAGGAAGGGGGACGTGGTGCAGAGCATTTTGTAGTTAAAATTGCCTAAATATAAATTTGGCTGAAGAGGGTACTGTGTTTAACATTTGCGTATCTGCAAATCAAAGCAGTCTTCCACCACCTGTCAAAACAAGCCGACTGTCCCATTCTCCATGTTTTGGCCTTCTAAAGCCCTTCCTTTCTGAAAATTGAAAGGCACCTTGATAAGAGCAAAGCTGATGTGCTGAGCACAAGCAGTAACCTAATAAAATTTCTTAGCAACTGACTTGATAACTAACTGTGAGCCTCTAGCTGCTGTGCCCCCTCCCTTCCTCTCCCTTGCATGACAACTGAACATAGCATCTATATATTCGCAGGTTTAAAATAGCTTCTACTCCTGTAACTTGCAAACCATTCTCACAGATCTTATTCTCTAGGCTAGAAGTAATTAATTACAGTCACTAAGGGGACTGAACTGCTGCACCCTTTTCCTTATTCTGGCATGGGCTCCTTGAGCAGTTCATTGCCCCGCCTTAAATAATGAATTGTTTAAATTAGGAAATCTTTTGAAGGATGGAGCTGCACAGATTAGATCTATGAATTTCCTGGTATCAAGGACAACAAATGAATAGATGTCCTTCTCTCCCTCTTCTCCTTGGCCATATAGCCACATATGCATCATTTAAAGCTAAGCTTGAAAACTAGTAAAGTACGGGAAAGTGATTAGAAAGGTATTTCCAATCAACATATGACAGCATGATTTGGGATGAGGCCACCAATCTGGGTTGAGGCACCACACAGACTGTGTACAGTGCTGATCTGCAAAAATCATTCAGTTAATTTGAACGCCGTCTCTCTACACCAAGTTTTAACTTCTCTGACTTGAGTGTGCCTAGCTCCACCACCTCTCCTAGATACTGCAAAAGCTGAAATTATTAGCAAAATATTCCTATTAAACAACCAAGAGAGTCGAGCTTTATGCGCTTGAGGAGGGTCATTATTGAAATATGACTAATAGTGAGTGACAGCTGAGACAGACCATATACAACACAGGGTCCATTTAGTCCTCCAGCTTGGAGGAGGAGCACGCTCACTTGCAGGTCTTGCACGGGTTCACACTGCAGTCTCCGAGAGCACAGCAAGGGCTCCTTTAGCTGGAACTAAACCAGAAGGCCAGTGCCGCTGCTAAGGGGAACTGGGTACACAGGGCCAGACTCAAAGAAAGCCAAGATAAACTCCTGAGGTGTGCACAGCGTGCACCCAACAGCCCTCCCTCCCAACTGTGCCACAGCGCGTGTCTGTGGAAGCGCACTCCTTGTTAGTGGAGACGCCAGCGTATACGTGGTGCTCCTACGTGAAACGTCTGCAAGCAGTCGGCCAGTTAACGGCTGCTCGAAGTCAGCTTTCTTTGCGCTTACAGGGCAAAGTTTGCTAATCCATATCCCCATCTACAGAGAAATACGAACGACACCGCGTACCTGTCATACCGGACACCTCTCCCAGCAATTTCACTGCGGCGCCTCATGCCGTCAGTTGTCAGGCAATGGCACGGAGATGAACCGTCTCTTCTTTGGCGCCGCATAACAGGGGTTTCTGCGTGCAGCTCTGCCGCCAGCATTAACCAGTAAATTGCCCATGCTCCGGGCCAAGCTGCACCTTCACATCTTTGCAGGCCTTAAGGAAGGCACATGAACCAACTGGACACAAAGGCATAATTAGGTCTGCCGTACTGGGGTGAGACAAGTAAATACTCTCCAGCTGGAGTGTTGTAGAGCTAATAACCTAAGAGTATAACCCAAGCCCTTTAGGGTTAGAACATAACACAGCAACGGTCTCATTGTACCGAGTTATGAGGCACGCACCGAGAGAAAGCTCTGTGCCTCAGATTGTGCAGCCCTAACGCCCGCCGCTGCCATCCACCTGCACCTGCAGAGCAAACACAACCTTGGACGGAGAACCACCACGCTCAGCACCTCGTCATGCAAGTCAAAAGACAACATCTTCTGTGTGCACAAAGCCTGGCTTTTATGTTTGCACAAGCAAAAGTAGGGAAATGGTAGCTTTTGAACGGGCACACTTTGCGTAGTCAAGAATTTTCTATTACCAGCAAAGCAGAAAATTATACAACTCTTTTCTTGTTCTGTGAGTACAACACACAGGATGGAATGCATAAAAAGCATGAAACTCCCCAAACTGTGTAGTTAAGGCTTTCAGCATACAAATCCAGCGGCTAAAATCCTGCAAGACAGCCAGGCCTGGTGTCATTTTGTTCCCCTTAGCCTCGTGATCCATTATAAAAGTATTCATGAAAAGAAAATGACCCTCAGTCTGAATTCTCATAACTAACAACCTGTGCAGAAAGTGTAAGGTGGAAGAACGGCTGCTGCATGGTCTGCTACACATACAAAATATTGTCAGCAGTTATCGGGGAAGCATAAATGCCCTTGGTAAATACAGATAGTGAAGGAGAAGAAATTTGAACACAGTATAAGAGAATTAAATATTGTGGGTGGGGTTTTTTTTGAAGCATGCACATATATTCTGCTGCTGAAGAAAAAAAAAAAAAAAGTATGAACATTTAAAGCAAAACTTTGTAGTTTATGGTTTGTAAGGATGCTGTTTCTGTCCTTACAAAGATCAGTAAATAAAATTGACCACAAAAACCAATAAAAGTATCTGGACAAGAGGAAAAAAATGGAAATATGGAAATATGTAGTTTTAGGGTCTGTCAACAGCTGGATTATTTCAATAATGTAAAATATTTTGTAAAGGTTAACCTTTCACTATGACACAAAGCTTCTGGGCCACCTCTTCAGTCGCTGTAAAGTGACATTATTTAACAGCTTCCCCCAAAACCCTAACCAGTATAGACTATTTTTGAATTTTGGGCTGAAAATATTAATAAAATGTTAATATACGCAGCCATAACTGAGACAAATAGGGGTCACGCAGGCGCCACAGTGGCCCGATGACCTCCACATTGCCTTGCTCCCTGCACGAAGCTCCACACCAGCGCATCGTACTCACGTGTCTTGCTGAGAAGTCATCAACCTCCCGAATCACCTTCTCCTGGCACTCTGGGTTGGTGGCTAGCAGGTACGTGGCAAAGGAGAGCGTGCTAGTTGTGGTCTCATAGCCAGCGATCAGGAACAGGAAAGCCTGGCCTGCTATCTCATCCTCTGTTAACGTCTTCTGCACCCTCCCGGGTGGGGCCGTGCCAGCGAGGGGCGCCGCGCCCTGCCGGGAGGCGGCCGATGGACCGATCACACCACAACACCCGGCTGCCGGGCAGGCAGCCGAGCCGCGGGAGTCCAGCATCCACTGAAGGAAATCTCTGCGCCTCTGCGGAAACACCGGAGGAGAAGAAGCGTAAAGAATGGGTCACAGAGCAGCGCCTTCGCCCACGGGGGAGGGAAGGAAAGACCTGCTTCCTATTTATGCTGCCCACTTGGCTCCCACAGAACGGCCACCAGCCTTTCATCAGACGAGGAGACTTCTACACATCAGCTAGAAATGCCATCACTACGGGTCGGCCACTGCCTTCTTCCTAGAGGGATGAGGCTGCTCTGCCCCCAGCACATATTTTCACAGAGGACTGCCAATGGCCAGCTCCACACAGAGCTGCTTCCGTCCTCAGGGCGAGTTCTTGGCGCCTGCTGGGAGCAAGGGGATCGACATAATCAGTGCACGGTCCCATGTGCACCTGCCGAGTGGAAGAGGCACGACGCATGCTTGGAAGAGTTGGCCCATCTGCTTGGAGGCACCATCCTCCTTTGTTCACATGGATCCAGAGCATGAAAGTCACCGTCTAGGTTTAGGGTTGCATCTACAATAATATCCGAAGCAGCTTAACAAGACAGGACTAGAAGCTGATCTCAGTAAACTGGTGCGTCTTTTTATGAGAAAGTCCAGTTGTGAACATTTGTACCAACATAGCTTTTTTTTTTTTTTTTTTTTAATTTTTTCTTAAAACGTATTTGCAGAAATGCATTACAACAGTAAGCATTCCTCTACCATAAAACCATTTAGATGGCTTGTCTTTGCAAAATGCCCATGGAATTATTCTACTGTTACAAAAACTGCTTTCTTTCATGCTGGTTTCTGACACAAAAACTCTAATAAACAGACCTGTGGACAAGAGTGAGCTGACTCCAAACCAGCCTGGACAGTAAGCTTGATTAGGCTTTGAAATATAACCCAAAAGGTTTGAATTGACTTTTGGGAGTGGGCATAATAGAATTGTGCTGAACCTAAGCCATAAGGCTATGTGATTGATTTTCAATTCCTCAAATACCAACAGAATACATGATAGCTCAAGGACTTAGAAGTGACTGCAGTGCCAGAACATGACAACTTGTGCAGTGGGATGGACAAAAGAAGAGAACGAGTCTTTCTTCAAAAGAAAAATAAAATGCTGTAAAGATGCATTTATCTGTTAAAGAGAAATAATTTGAATGGTTTCTTGGATCTGATGATTGAGAGATAAAGTACAAAAAGGAAAAGCCAGAGAAAAGGACAGGCAAACAAGATGAGAGTAAGGAAGGACTAATTAATTATAAATGTCAAAGGACTTAATCAGATTATTTTTTTTTTCACATGACATGGGAAAAGAGAGCAGTGAGACAGCAAAAGAGGAGCAAAACTTAGCATCCTATGCTTAGCTCTGCTGCCAACAAACTGCTCTGACCTATCTACGAGGCAGAGAGGAATGGTGGTTCTGAGGTTCGGGTAACACGAGGGATTGGCATACTGCCTCTAACAGCTCCTCCCCTCCAGCCCACAGCACCTTTTCATTTTGCATGTGTACATTATAGACACCTTGTACGCGTGAGCACAGTGCATCCTGCACCCTGGTACCCCCAAGAACCAGCGCTCCAGGCAGCAGCCGGCCCCGCTCACGGCATGCTGAACGACTCCACAGATCCAAGGCACGGCGGACGCGCTTTTCCCCCAGTAAGCCAAGGCACACAAGGCAATATTATACACGCTGTGTTCAGCAAATGCGCTCCAGCTCTGAAAATACTTCCTTGTGGCTTGACTTAGGCACAATTTCCATATTCAGATTGGCCATGCTTCCTTGGTCTAGCATTTCTAATACAGCAAGCCAAAAGTTGCAACAGCCCTGCCACAGTTATCTTCCTCCAGTCCAGCATGACAGGGTACCTCTGCTCGTTTATGTTCCTCTAGACTGGAGGAAACAAGACTTCATGCATACTTCAGCTGCACATAGCTAAAAATCTCATTTAACTTCTCCAGACAGGGCTTCATTCACGTTCTGGGAGCCCACGTATTGCACAACTCAGAGTCCAACTCTTTGGCATAGCCTATGCTTCAGCGATTTTCCTGGTACATGCATTTGGGTTAGGCCATTTTTTACATAAAAGAACCCCCAAACAGTCCAGTTCTAGTGTGTTCATTAGGGTGTGGATAAACTAGTCCAGTATAGTAATGGACTGCATCTGTACAGAAAGTCCCTTTTATCCATAAGACTAGTCATCATCACCTGAACTATCTTTATAACATAAAAATGTATAATTACATTCATATTCACTGGAGTCGTAACCCTGTAACATACTATAGTTCAAATGGTATGACATTTGGTGTGGTTCTGTATTCATCCTTCTCTAGCCATGAATTTTCTTGTAAACAAACACATTGCTCTCTGAGGGTTTGCAGTTCCCAGTCATGAGCTGTTAGCTGAGTCTGGTCTTATATTTAGACAATACACTCTCTGGAGACTCTGTAAGAGGTTTCTCCAGCCTTAGACAAAATCAGGTCCCGGCCTTATACAAAGCATCTGGTTATTGCCGTGATAGTAAAGTAATAATCATAATGACGAGTGAATAAAATTTCGTTCATGAGAACTTTTGCTGAAAGCAAACTTAATGAATGCTAGCACAAGTGAATATTCCCAAGAATGTGCTCTGAAATGCCTCTGTGGCCATTTTGAGGAACTCTTTTATTACTCACATAATATATTTGGTTAGGAATTTAAAAGTTTGTCTTGTTGTAGAATCTGTTTATAAGGTCACCCTATCAATAAACAACTATATACCTTATATGTGCCATGTAAATTGTTCACAGGTGAGCAAGGGTTGCTAAGAGCAATGGTTTTATAAATAATCCTTACTAAAGCAACATTAATTTGTAAAAACTATTTGAATAATGGGGGGGGGGGGGAGAAAAAGCATAAAATTAGAGAGATGCAAGCTTTTTTCATCATAATTCTACACAGTGGAAGAAGCTATATTTTAGCAAAGCTTTTCTTTCTTATGGTTCATTCTACTTCACTTTAGGCATCAGTATAGAACGCAACATAAAAAATCATCATCAACCGAAGCAAGAGAAAAGATTTCCAGGGTTATAACCACTCATAATGAAACATATTTTTCTTCCGCACCATCAGGATGGAAAAATCACTCTGACTCAAAAACCTAACAATGGCAATAGAGGCAAACACTAGCATAAAACCAAATATAATTGGATTGTTAAGTGCTGGAAATGAGGAAAAGGTATCTCATGAAAATTCACAGAGGTTTCATCCACTTCAGTTGACAGCAGGAAAAAAAAAAAAAAAAAAAGGCAGTTTTTACAGTTTGACAACAGACCAGGTACTGACAGTGTCACTGTACAAAACCATTCTCTGGTCATCACATACAGCTGCTGGCTTCCTTTTTCTATTGGGGACATTTGTTTGATTTTCCTCACAAAAAAAAGCAGAAGCCCATAATAGCCTCTATCCTGTCCTCTGACACTTGCATAGTTATGTTACAATGGCCTCAGAAATAAGTTCCCTCTTCAAAAGAATGGTGTGCCGATGAGACGGACTCTTGTTTTGCCCCTGTACAACACAGAGCCTATCATTAAGCCAATGAGAATTGAATAGAGAGCTACTATTTGAAAAAATCTAATTTGAATGCAGTATGGGACAGGGTGCACGTCTAACCTGGTGGTGACACAGACATCCCCTTTGAAATATATAATAAGACAAGCCCTGCTTTCAGCTTCCCCAAGATAGACACCTTGCAATATATTTCCTGACACCAGTGTTCTGGGCCGTATCATTCCCCTCATTAGTCTCCTTAAACATCGCCCGGCCATGCAGAGAAATCATTCTGCACAGAACTGTAACGAGCTGCGTGCTGCACACTGGAAGGGCAGACGTGCGCTGTGCCGGGGAAGGCCAATCCAGCGGTACCTACCACCCCTCCTCAAATCACTGCTTGTAAGTTCTGCAACTGTCAGAAGAAGAGAGAACTATCGCTCACAGGTGTGAGGTATCGTGACTCCTCTCACAGGAGGCAAGGGTCCTGGGGGTGCAGGGCATGTCTCCAGCTCCTTCCATCCGACACAGGGAGCTGTGCTTTTATATCCAAGATTGACATACCGGCTGACCTTCTGGCAAATTCACCACTGCTCGGGGATCCAGGGGACCCTTGGGTGATGCTTTTGGTAGAGAGATTGAGCCATTTAACTTCTCTGCAACCTGAAGTCAAAAAATACTTACGGAAAACTACCGTATGTATATCAGTTGGAATCTTTGTTCTTAACACTGTGATTTCGGTTGTGTTTTCTGCAAACAATACTCCAATTTTGCAGTACTCTGATAGCTCAGCTCCCCGTTTTGAGTTCAAAAGAGCCCAAAACTACAAAAAGTAACTGAAAGACGAATCAAGAAATGAAACCAGATGACATAATCGGTTGGTATTCTGTAAAGCACTTGCCATGGTGCAAAAGTCATACCAATGTGATGCTGCTAATATAATACCACTCACAATAAATTGTGCAGACCCTCCTAGCCTTTCTCAAATGCTCTGATGGCAGCTCAAAAAAGCAGGAGCTAAGCTTCAGAATCCTTATCTAACAGTGAGAAAACTCACATCTCATATTGTTTCTGTTTCCCACAAACTCGCACAAACACTGCTATGTTAGTTTATATCCAGGTCATTTTTTGTAAGTTTGACGTAGCAACCATCTTTTTAGGTGAGACAAACCTGTGTCACCTCGAAGTTATCAGCAAAGCACTGCAGTAGCTTCCCAGATCCTTTTGAAAAATAAGCACAAAACGCAGTTCCACTGAAACTATCATTTTGCCAAACTGCTTTGAAAGGATCTAATTCAACCTCTCCCTAACACTTGCAGGTTTCACTTGGTTTCTTAGTGAAATCCCCCAAAAAAGCCAGTCATCCAGTCCCAAAACATTCCAGAGAGACCATCCTTTTGCCTTGTGCTCGAACCCAGAGGCTGGAATTAACTGGGAGGCCAGAGCTGACAGCCCTCAAGCTGGTGCGCCCGAAGGTGGCGAGCACGGTGCTCTCGGAGGTGATGCTCAGCTCTGCCAG